ATGTAGATCTGCAGATGTGAGGGTGTGAGGGTGTGAAGATGTAGATCTGCAGGTGTGAGGGTGTGAAGATGTAGATCAGCAGATGTGAGGGTGTGAAGATGTAGATCAGCAGATGTGAGGGTGTGAAGATGTAGATCTGCAGGTGTGAGGGTGTGAAGATGTAGATCAGCAGATGTGAGGGTGTGAAGATGTAGATCAGCAGATGTGAGGTGTGAAGATGTAGATCAGCAGATGTGAGGCTGTGAAGATGTAGATCAGCAGATGTGAAGGTGTGAAGATGTAGATCAGCAGATGTGAGGGTGTGAAGATGTAGATCAGCAGATGTGAGGGTGTGAAGATGTAGATCAGCAGATGTGAGGGTGTGCAGATGTAGATCAGCAAATGTGAGGGTGTGAAGATGTAGATCAGCAAATGTGAGGGTGTGAAGGTGTATTACAATGGCTGCTTTTTTACGAAGAACCCTTCGCAGGCGCTCTCGGGAAGAAGCGCAAACATCCTCTTACAATCACCCCAAAACGTCTTCTTACAATCCCATATGAACTAGATTAGAAACCCAAACCATCTGCAGCACCTTTGGAAGACTTCTCCTTGCTTTGCAACCGTTCGCCCCCCCTCCCTCAGGATCACTTCTCATCCCCTGGCAAACTATCTTGTTCCGAACCCCAACGGACGCTGCTCTCCGTTATTACCCCAAACGTCCTCTCACAATCCCGTATGAACTAGATTAGAAGCCCAGACTATCTGCAGCACCTTCGGAAAACTTCTCTTTGCGTTGCAACCCTTCGCCCCCCCTTTCTCAGTATCACTTCTCATCCCCTTGCAAACTATCTTGTTCCGAACCCCAACAGACGCTGCTCTCTGTTGCGCTTCAAAGTTCCGCCATTTTCCTCCATTTTCCCCCTGCTGTTAACGACTTTCCTTCATTTTCTTTCGCCGCACTCCTCACTGCACACTTTACACTCCATACTGCACACTTGACACTCCACACTCTACACTTTACACTTCACACGCGACACTCTGCACTCCACATTTTACACTTTACACTGTACACTCCTCACTCCATGGCGGGTGAAAGATTGTATGTCACTCCACACATTACACTCCACGCTCCGCATTTTACACTCTACACTTACTCTACCCTCCAAACTTTGCACTTTACACTTTACACTCCACAATCAACACTTTGCACTCCACACTCCACACAGCCCTCGTGGCCCTGTATGTTGGCAACCTACAGCCCTCGTGGCCCTGTATGTTGGCAACCTACAGCCCTCATGGCCCTGTATGTTGGCAACCCACAGCCCTCGTGGCCCTGTATGTTGGCAACGTACAGCACTCGTAGCCCTGTATGTTGGGAGGAGGAGGAGGAACAGCGGCACCTTTTGTTGAAAGCTACCTGGCAAGTGAGGAAAAAGATGAGAGACCTCCCCATTCAGGCCCTGCGTTGGGTCCGTGCTGGGCCCGCGTGGCGTCCGTGAGTCCGTGGCCGTGGCCGTGGGGTCCCTGTGAGGTCCGTGCGTCCTTTGGGCCTTGATTGGTCCTATCCCGGCCCGCAAACGTGGATTGAAAAAAAAGCGGGAAGGGGGGGGACGCCCTCCCCCAAAGCAGAATGACTATACCTGTCCGGTTCAATGTTGTAGGTTGAAGATGGTACTCAGGGTGTATATGCCGTAGGTAAGGCAGAACTGTGCTGGACCCAAAAAGTTTCATTTTATGTTGTCATAGTGCTCGCTTAAGATATATTTTGGGTTTGGCTTAGGGGTTATTCGGAGTTGGTTTAGGGTTTATTCAGGGTTGGTTTAAGTTTAAGGTCTATTTAGGGTTGGTTTAAGGTTTCTTTAGGGTTAGTTTAGGGTCTGTTTAGGGGCCATTCGCTCAGGCAGCAGACATATAGATCTCATTCAACAAGTGTCCTGAAATACGGCTTTTCAGACATAGAAAAGGGCTAGTTCGGACACCAGCCAAAAGCCCAAAGCCAAAAAAAAGTGAAGCCAAAGCGAGAAGCCCAAAGCCAAAAGCCAATGAAAAAGCAGGAGGGGGGATTCTGCGCCCTCCCCCCAAAGCAGAATGACAATCCCTTAGATACACGCCAATCCCTTAGATATACTTGGAGACCAGGTTTAACAAGTGTCCTGAAATAAAGTTTTTTGACATAGAAAGGGGATAGTTAGGACACTTGTTGAAAAAGAGTTTAATTCCTCTCACAAGCATGCATGTTAACTCATGTTCCATATGTCAGTTTAATTAATGTATATAGTTTCTGTGCAGCTTACATGTAGTCTACATGCAGTGCATATGCAAGGTTGTAGCTATGTGCAAACTACAAAAGTACATATTAGTGTCAACAGAAGGGCCAGGGCGTATAAGGTACAAAGCCCGGAGTGAAGCCAAAAAAGCAAAAGCCAACTGAAGCCAAAGCGCAAAAGCCAGACCAAAAGCCAAAAGAAAAGTGAAACCAAATCCAAAAGCCAAAATCTAAAAGCCAAAAGCCGAAAAGCCAAAGGCAAGGTGAAGCCCAAGGCTAGAAACAAAAACCAAACCTAGAAAAAAAAACAATAAAAATACATCCCTTGTATATCATCAAATGTTTGCCAGCATGTTGGCTAGCGGCTCAGGAAATTGGTAGAAATAAGCCCCGTCCATGGATACCTGCAAACCATACAGATTCTTTCCAACATGATTTCTATTGAAAAAACTTTCTGCGAAGTGCTGGGCGCTAGGAAAGATATTGAAAAATAATGGCCTCAAAACACAATCTCAGCCCTGTGCCACACAGAAAGTTCACCAACTTCTCGGGGATGACCACCCAGTTCCCACTTGCGTAGGTAGAGACATTGGAGGAAGAGGTGCTGTGGGGCCGGACCGGGAAAAATACAAGTTACCATGAATTTGATCGATGTTCATTGATAAGTATTTGCCAAACATCTTCAAACCTATACACTATACACGTCCCATCAAGTGACGCCATAAACTCTTGAGATAGTCAGGGGCCGGCGGGCCACTTACAACCACAACAGGAGTCAAAGAATTGTCCCATGACACAGCGATGACATGTGCCAGCAAAATGTCCACCCAAAAAGTGGATAAATAAAAGTGAGTACGGATGAGCATGGGTGAGGTTTTCCATGTGTTTCCATGTGGGCCTTTGCCGCCGTCAGTGGACTCCAAATCTGGGTCGTCATTATCACACTACCTTGGCCAGCAGGGCAGCTGGCGATGCAAAAGCACGATATGTTTGCAACAACCATTCCGTAAGCCAGTTGAAGAGTAGAAGGTTGCTCATCTGCTGTGACGGAAGTACCCGGAACCTCAGGTGAATTGGCTGTGCTTCTGGCCCGTCAAAGTTGCAAGTCGCACCTGCACGTGACTCCAACTTGTTGTTGAAATTTCAAAAGCATCGCAAGGATCGAAAAGGATCCAACAGGATGTATCCGACACAGACAAACTCCGCAATCTCTGCATGAGGCCACAAAAACACCACGGTTGGCAACATTCATTTGATAGAAAAACCAAGTGATAGAAACCCTGATTTGCCGCCTGTCCAAAGGTGAACCTGACAACTCGACCGCCAGAACTGTAATCGCCAACCTCCTGGCTTGGCCATTCAGGACCCGTCCCCAATCGTTGGATCTACCATGATCTATCTAATCTAATCTAATCTAATCCAATCTCATCTCATCTCATCTCATATCATATCATATCATATCATCTTATCTATCTATCTATCTAATCTAATCCAATCTCATCTCATATCATATCATATCATATCAAACCAAATCCAAATGGTTTCGGGTTTGGCTGGGGTTCATCAAAAATGTGAGGCATCTCCATGCACAATCACGAGGCATTTCCATGCACAATCACCGAGACAGCGGAGGATTTGTTGCCTGAGGCATACGTACAACGGTTTAATGAAACTAAATGAAGTGGTGGATGTTGATGGATGTTGATGGATGTTGATGGATGTTGATGGATGTTTTCAACAGCAAAGAATGTGGCATTGAAAAGGTTTAACTGTATCTTCTTTTTGGGTTTCAATTTTGAGGCACATCCAAGTGGTCTTTCCAAGACAACACCTCTTTCTGGCCAAGGTCTGGGCCCCCGGCATGCAATGACTAATCATCCAAGGCGCCATTGACATCCTTTGTAAACAAGTCTCGAAATCCAAGTGGCGTTTTGTGGTCCATTGTGGCCCCACTTCCCAAGCGCTCAGGGTGATGAATTTCAGCTGAAAATCGTTCACTCTTACCAACCAAAATGGATACTAATAACACGAGACTTGGGACTTACTGCGGCCTTCCCCTAGTAGACAGGGAACCGTACTGCCTCTTTGAAGCCTGCATGGACATGGATGAAAAAAAATGATTCAACCACCAACTACATCAACTACCGAATTGGAAATTTGTTGGAAGAGCATCTTCAACACCGACGTCGGCCCTGGTGGTGATTGCAACCGCCCCTTCAATTGGCTATGATAAGGTGGCGGCACCCATGTCATGGTGGGAAATGGCGGCAGTCACCAAGAGCAACAAACAAATATACCTCTTGTATTTATATATATCTCTCTCTCATGCATGGATTAAAAAAAAAATATTTATCTATCTATCCATCCATCCATCCATCTGCCTATCGATCAATCAATGTATTGATGAACCCAAAAATAAACATCAATATTTCCGTTTGTTGCTGTAAAAACGCATGCATGTGTATGTGCGCGTGTAGCGCGCACAAAAAACAAAATTTGCCCAAAAACTACTGGGGGGGTGATGACCAGAAAATGAAATTCCACAAGGTTTCGCCCCAAGTTCCTGTTTTCAATGGATAAACAGGTGGAGTGTAGTGAAACTCCCAATAGCACCGCCTTCCAAATGTGAAGATCGCATGACCTCATCCGAGCAGAACCAAGAGCCAATCAACTGTCAAGTTCAAGAGCCCGCTGCTAGCCAGAAGTTTGCACCCCAACACATGGCAGGAGGCAGCAAGCTTTCTTTTGATCTGCATCAATGAAAAATGTTTTCGTCATTGCCCGGCGATGCAATCCACCGTCGCTTGTTCTCGCGCGCTGGGACAGGAGAAGAGACAGCCGGAGCAGCAGCGGCAACAGCATTATCAAGGATATAAGCAGGCTCTTGCAGCTTCAGATAAATGACATTGTCACGGTTGCGCAGCCAGTGGTCCTCATCAAAAGCCTCTAAATTCTCGGCAGAGAGGTCCAAAGTGGCAACAACAGCCCGGCCACAAAAGGAGTACGTGTATGCGTACACATTCGTGGCTGATTTTGCGCTCTTTAGCGCCTTCGGCCGCCCCTGCAAAGCCTCACGGTGTCTTTTCAAAAAGTAAGCATCAGAAACTCCGTCAAGAATGACGCCCGCATGTTCGCGGCGGTCAAACTCGGCTAAGTCCATCTGCTCACTCTCCTCGACTGTCACCTGGCATCAGCTCAAAATATTTCAAAATTCCAAGTCAATGGTTAAATTCTGGGTTTGTGAACCCATCTCTGTTTGGCCGTGCCCACCTCCAAAAACCCAGGCAGCCCGAGCCGGCAGGCAATGCGGTCTAGGATGTTGGCGGCAAGCATTGATTTGCCAAGCCGCGTCCCACCCACAATGGCCAGCACTGGGCGGCGAAACTGAGGCGACCCATCGTGACGTCCAATAAAGTCCTGAGACATGGTATGGCCACTCAAAAAAAAAGTTTTTCCAAAGTTGGGCGGATGCTCCAAACTTCACCAAGACAAACTGACCCGGGCCTCCACTTCGGGGAAAACTTTCATTGGCAGCTTGGTCGGCGCCAGGGCTTGTCCCGCCGCACGGACAGCCTCGCGCACCGCCTCTTCTCGCAAGTACCTTTCCGCTGCCTTGCAGTCCCCCAACCTCTTCTGGAACCCTACCGTGACCTGGGCAGCCAAGGTCAGGTAAGTTTGTCGGGTCAATTTCCCGCCTTTGAGGAGGTTGTCCAGCCACCACCCTTCCACAGCATAAGCTTGGAAGGGGGGGTACGTGGTGTAGTTAAACCTCGGAGGCCACAGCCGCACACACTCGGCAAAGTGGCGTTGAGGGAAAAAAATGGGCCCATACTTGTGCAGCCTAAGAAACAAGGAGCCGACCTTGTCCGCCACCACGTAGAAATGGCCGAGGCGGATGGCTCCTGCAAAGGCTTTGCCTGAAGCCCGGTTAGGTTCCAGGTGGGGCCGGATGCCTTCAAAGGCAAAGGGGCGCAGGGCGTCGGCGCCACGCCGTTGGAAGGGCTTCTTGAGGTGCAAGTAGGCGTGCAAATGCACCTCAGGGGCGCCAAAGAACCAACGAAACAAGCCACAAAACAGCCTAGCAGGAATGTTTACCTTCAGCCCTTGCCTGCAAGGGGGAGGCGCGTTCCATGGTCGCCGACACACCTTGTGCGCCAAGCGTTTCGGAAAGGCCGCCAAGGAAGACCACAAAGCGGTCAAACAGCCGGCGAAGGACGTCAAGGTCCTGTGCACCAAACTCCTCGGAAGAGGAGTTGTAGGTCAGCTGCACGGCCGAAAACTTCCATGCCCTGCCAAGGGTCCGAAAGAGGCACCATACCAATCAACCCCACAAAACAGCCAAAACGAAGAAAACAAGGCTTTCACAATATATATGGTATATATGGATGCCACCAACCAGGCTAAAACCCTGCCTGCCGGCGTCCTCGTTGGCTTCGGGTTGGGGGCCCTCGCCCGCTTCCCCGAAGCTTGCCTCGTATGAGGCTGAGAGCTGGGAAACTTTGTCCCGCTGCGCGGCAGTCAGTTCCAGGCGCAAGAGCTCCGCGACCAAGTCCCTAACCAGAGGGCGGCCCGCGTTTTCACGGATAGCTGCTTTACCATGGGCCAAAGCGACAACGTTCAGACCCTTCACTTGCTCTTCACGATGGGGGTTGCGGCCACCTCCCATTGTGTGTTGAATTGAAGGGCGGAGGTTTTGCGAAGCGGCGAAAGCGTTGATCAGAAAAGAGCTGCGTGCATGTGTCCGGTCAAGTTTCTCCAGCAACACGCACCACAAGAAAGAAACCGCATGACGCACAAGACTTTTGCATCCAGCTTGGCTCACATGTCCAATACCTACCTACCTGCCAAAACGCCGCCAACCCCACTCAGCGCCGTGCTCAAAGAAAGCTTGCTGACCGAACCGTTTCAACGCATGAGGGGCCTAGGCTATCCGACCGATCTCGACCGAAAAACCGTAGTAAAGTCGTTCTGTTATACGATGTGTGTGGTTACATTTTGAATGCTCTGCTACTTTTGCAAGCCAACTGTTTCTGTGGCAACTCTGGTCCATAAGATCCACAACTCGACAAGGCATCTGTGGCTGAATACACAACAACCTCCCCGACAGCTTTGCCCGACACGCTTGCGCGACATGCTCTCAGCCTTTGTCTGTGCGCTCTATTGCCTGTGTATTTTTGTTCGTCGGTATGCAATGGTTCTGAGTGTGGCGCTTTTAGCCTGGAAACTTGAGTCCTGTAAATTGGTAAAACTACTAGACTGCGGGCAGGAGTTACGTATTTCTTTAATCTTACTAGCCAAAACTATTTTCCACATTTCACATGTACACTTAAGACCTATAAGCGCAAATCGGTTTACACGTTTATATGTATATATGTGTATAATGTAATCGAAACTCTACTTACGTTCAAGATTGAACCTTTTGGATCCTTTTGGAACGTTTTTAATGGTTGTCTCATGTCGTGTTTTAATCAGGCTGCGAATGAACCAGCATAGTAACACTTCATTTGATTCGGGTCTATTTGATTTGGGGTTCAAACTGGTGGTTGTTTTTGCAATTGAGATGAAAAGAAAGGTGAACCCGGTACGGATGAGATGAGCTAGGAAGCGGACAAATGAGTCAAGAATACTACAATAGATGGCATGTATATTATATACTGAGATCAAAGATACTTCACATCACAATTAAAACAAAACCCAAAACACCTCGCTCACTATGAGAAAAGGACTCATTGAAAAATTAAATGTTGAAATCGTTGCTTTGAAAGGATACATTGGTCATATGTCCCTGCCTTAGCTGGATACCGTGGTCCTGTGTCCCCTGCCTTGGCTGATTGATTTCACTCGTCCCGTCGCTGGTCCAAAATCATATATGTCTTAATGTTTTACTTGTGTGATCTTATCATAAGACCTAATGCGCAATCCGCAATCCAAGAGAATCTCCGTACATTCAGATTGCGCATACAGATTGTTTTCTCACGGCCGGGGCGCAAAGAGGAGGGAGGAGCACATCACTAAATCTGAAATTTACATATTCCAAAAACAAACTGTTTGCATTTTCAAATGCATTCGGTTTTGCAACAAAAAAATGCATCAAGAATTCACCTACGAAAAAACAGTTTCAGCATTGTGGTTCCTTAAAAAAACATGCATTTCGGAAGCCAATAATTTCGCACAAAAAAATAGTGCTGACAATCTAATTTACTTGTTACAACAAATGTTAAAAGGCCTTTTTTGGGCATTTTTTTTCTGCAAAAAAGGGTGTCAAGTGTTAAGGTTGAAAACTTATGAACATGTCCTCTTCGTTAAGAAACATGCATTTTTGGGTCGTCAGTGTTCTGCAAAACCAGGTTTCAATGGTGACAGTTTGTTATTAACGAAAAACATTGAACATCACTTGTTGTTTACCAAAAAATGTTTCAATATTAAATTATATATATTTGTCACAAAAAACATCCAAATTGGGGGTATCAGTGTTCCGCAAAAACAAGGTTTCGATGCTGGAAGTTTTCTTCATAAATGGCATGCATTTGGGGGAGCGTCAGTTTTCAGAAGAAACAACGCTTCAATTTTGAGAAATTTGCCTTGAAAAGAATTTTGGAAGTGGCTGCATTGTTTTGAACATGTTTTCCCTACCTGCCAGGAAAGATCCGTTTATTTTACATCAGTTTGCTCCTCCGTCCTTTTTTTCATGGTTTTAACGTGGTGTTCATTGATTTTTCCATGGGCATGGTTTTCACTGATTTGTTAATAGAAATCACTGATTTTTACTAGGATACAGGGTGTCATTGCAGTTAATCAAGCTTGATATACAGTCTGTTTTGGGTTTGCTTAAGGTTTCTTTAGGGCTGGATTAGGGTTTGTTCAGGGATACAGGATCTGCATGAAAGTAACTCTAATATGTAGTTGAATATAATTAAGTGTATATGATGCATGACTAAATGTGACAAGAAATATGCATATACATATTTATATATATATATATGTGTGTGTGTGTGTCTCTCTCTCTCTCTCTCTCCATCGCCATCTCAATATATGTAGAGTAGTGTATTTACAAGTGTGCAAACGTGGCTATGGTCCAATTCCGGCCCAGGTCCGTTACGGGTCTGTGGCGTCCGTGGGTCCGTGGGGTCCGTTGCCGGTCCGGTGCGGGGTCCGTGGGGTGAGTCCGGGGGGTCTGTGCGGATTCATGGGGTCCGTGGGTCCGTTTGGCTGTGGTTGGCCCTGGGCGAAAGGAATCTCCTACACCACCTGCGCTGAAGGGTGTGCAGTATGTTGTTGCAGCATGTTGTTGCTGCAAATCATTAGTAGTAGTAGATATGCGCATACTTGTATGTAAAGATATATGTCAATGCAATGGGAACCGTAGAATATATACACATATACATACACACACACACAATCACACACACATTATTTATACATATATCATATATATTCATATATATATATATTATGAGTCTATCTCGTCGTGCATGCTGTCACAGCAGTAGCTGGAGGTGTGTACATAGGATGTATTTATAGAAAATATATATGCAGTTCAATTACTTTCGTCGTGATCCCCACCCTGACACACTATTCTGGCATAGTTTCTGACACACCATCTGGAAGTATATATGGCATTCTATCTGGGCATCCGGAGCTGGCGATATGGTGTTCGGGTCCAGGTGTGCCCCACAGCATCCGGAGCTGGCCGTGTGGCAGCGAGCACAGCAAGACAGAAGGAGAAGGAGGAGGAGGAGGAGGAGACGAGGACGAGGAGGATTAGAGCCATCATGGCCCTGTACGTTGGCAACCCACAGCTCTCATAGTTTTACCGCCCTCATAGCCTTGTGTGTTGGCAACCTACAGCCCACACAGCCCTGTATGTTGGCAACCTACAGCCCACACAGCCCTGTATGTTGGCAACCTACAACCCTCACAGCCCTGTATGTTGGCAGCTCGTAGCCCTCTATCTTGGCAATCTACAGCTGACATAGCCGTGTATATTGGCAACGTACAGCCCCGATGGCCCTGTATGTTGGCAACCTACAGCCATCATAGCCCTGTATGTTGGCAACCTACACCCCTCATGGCCCAGTATGTTGGCAACCTACAGCCCTCGTAGCCCTGTATGTGGGCAACCTACAGCCCTCGTAGCCCTGTATGTTGGCAACCTACAGCCCTCCTAGCCCTGAATGTTGGCAACCTACAGCCCTCGTAGCCCTGTACTCCTATAGCCCTGTATGTTGGCAACCTACAGCCCTCGTATCCCTGTATGTTGGCAACCTAAGACCCTCATGGCCCTGTATGTTGGCAACCTACAACCCCCAATGTTCCTGTATGTTGGCAACATACAGCCCCTCGTAGCCCTGTATGATGGCAACCTACAGCTCTCGTGGCCCTGTATGTTGGCAACATACAGCCGGATTGCCAGGATCGGACACCAGGATAGTAGAATCGGACACCAGAATCGGACACCGAGAATCGGTCACCAAGCAGATCAAGAAAGGTTAGGGTATAGCAACTATACCAAACCAACCCGAATCGGTCACCAAGCAGATCAAGAAATGTTAGGGTATAGCAACTAAACCAAACCAACCCGAATCGGTCACCAAGCAGATCAAGAAATGTTAGAGTATAGCAACTATACCAAACCAACCCGAATCGGTCACCAAGCAGATCAAGAAATGTTCGAGTATACCAACTATACCAAACCAACCCGAATCGGTCACCAAGCAGATCAAGAAAGGTTAGGGTATAGCAACTATACCAAACCAACCTTGCTCTTCGTGCGCAACATGCCTCTGGCAGTTGCTGCCCGGGATCCCTCCACGGAGATACCATTGCTAGGCCAGGCGCTCGGCAATGCTCGTGCGCAGGAAGCTTCAAGTCCATCTTGGTATCCCTAGACGTCCCTAGGCCTACAAAAAGCAGTTGCAGCGACTTGGTCGTCTGCAAACAGCACTCTACATCAAAGGATGATCATTTAACAGTTCCGTACATTTCATACGGTTAAAAGAAAATTCAAGAGGCGGATCAACATGATGAACTTGTAATGCAACATCTTGAGATGAGATCACACCACGTTATGTATGTTTGCGTTCAACCCAGCGCTCACTCTCAATGATCAGTGGAGGTCCACAGTAGGTAAAGCAGCGAGTTCGTGCCCTTGGCCCAGGCTTCAATGGGATTTGTGTGGAGTTGTTTCCTCAACCCAAGCCAAGCAGAAAGTAGGCTACTTTGGGTTGAATGCGAAACTCTGCATTTCCAAACAATAAATAGAATCAGTGCGATCAATGAATTCTATCTGCATCATTGCGCATCTTGCCTCGGATGAAAATGTGGCCACATAGCTTTAGTAACTATGGGTGAAAGGATACGGGCTGAGATCTTTTGACGCCCTCACACACATACAGATATGTTCGGGTCTGAATGCTAGCCAATGTTCCGAGTATACGGTAGCGATCCAGGCAATCAAAGTAGTTCAAGAGCCCTGCTCAACAACACTTCAAACATTTTCAATCAAACCCTTCTGCTTAAAGATAAAGTAATGTCTATTGGACATCTCCCACTCTGAGCATCTAGCCTCCCAACAGGGCCAGACGAAAAACGCGTCTCGGAAACAGGAAATGATAGTGGGTGATGCGCGGCAAGAAATTTATCAACAGTAAGGGCCTCTAATGTTGA